AAGGGGAGGTTTTTGTCTCACGTCTGCATGTGAGTTTATCACTGTGGATACCAATAGTTGCTGCCACTGCTGTAACCACCACCACAATAGTAATCGGCCTCATCCTCATCCTGGAGGTTTGTAATGGTTAAATAGGCTGCATTGGCCGAGGTGTCCTTGGACCCCGTGAACCTCCCACTGCTGCCAGTATTATAGAGAAGGTACTTGGGGCTCTCTCCAGCCTTCTGTTGGTACCAATATATGGTATAGCTGCCAATTTGGCTGTCTCGACTCATGGTACATGAGATCTTTGCTGGTTGTCCCGGGGGAAATGATTGTGCCGCAGGTTGAGTCAAGGTATACTGTGAATGGGCTCCTGAAAATAAAAAAGGGAAGAGAATGAAGGTGGACATCCTATAAATCCACTCTTGGAGTATTTTTTGAAGAACTGCTCTGCTTGAAATCCAGACATCGCCGAATTTCGATGGGTTGGAAGGCATGGAAGCTGGTGGCTTTGATATCAGGATCAAACCATCATTACAGTTTGAGCCTGATGGTTTCCAAGCCATCACAGGAATCCAGAGGTGAGAATTCTTCCTAAATTACCTGGGCACCATAAGAAGAAGAAGGCCAAGAGCATAGATGAGGCCATGATGAAGAGCTGATGATTTTGGGAAATTCAGATTAGGAGACTGTTATAGTCCCTTTAAACCCCCAAGAATCTGAGTCCTCCCCCTTTATGCAAATTCAGCTTGCATCTCATTAGCCGGGTTTGGATAAGAAGAAGGCAAGAGATGGTTTCCTGCTTCTTTTCACCTCTCGTTTCATTCTTCTCATTTGGATACTGGAAATGCTTGAGAGATCATGTTACAGTAACGTGGTTGGTCTAAGGTCCCCGTGAAACTCTTTCTCTCCTCATAGATGATGGACCCTTCTGAATATCTGCTGATATCAGATCTCTCCCAATCTTGTTACTTGAACATCTGATTTACATAATTCAGACAAAAAACTTTTCTAAAGCACCAGTAACATCCTTTAACTATTTAACTCTCCAGGAAAATAAATCCCCAGGAATTGTTTGTGTGTCAGGCTTGGGATGAGAATGTAGATTAAAACTAATTATTTCTGCAGAAAAAGAGAGACTTTCCCTTGAGACAGAGGTGCAAATATAAGCGGCCAAAATAAAAATTGGCTCAGAAATTCATAT